CGTCAGCCTTCCTGCTCCTACGATGCTGCTTGGCCTGCTGTGTTCATCCAGCTCTGCACCTTGTTGTCTTATATTTTCTTCCTGTTTGTTTACCTGTGACTTATTTGTACAAACTTGTAGTTCACACTTTTTATACTTCTCCTGAACCAGGACAGCACCAGGAATGACAATATACTACAGGATATTCAAGGTAAAAGGTAAAGTCACCACAATCCCAGAAGGCTACTCTCTCATGAGAGAGAGGCGAGTTTAACCTGAAGGTCACCATGCCTCAGGCGAAGGCAAAAGTCGATAAGGTGGGATTGTCATGGTAATCTCAGCCAGTGTGGGAATTGAATCAGTGTCATTGGCGTCACTGCATTGCAAATCATCCAACTGAGCTCACTGTCTCAAAGTGCAGAACTACAACTAGTGTAATGCACTGTCCAGCTACCCTCCAAGTGAGGCAACTTGAGAGAAGCTGAAGTCTTTTTATTCAGTCATGGGACATAGGCATCATTGGCTATCCAAAATTTATTGCCCATCCCTAGCTGCCCTTGAGAAGGTGATGATGAGCTGCCTTCTTGAATCACTGCATTCCACCTGCTATAGATAGACTCAATATTGATATTAGGGAGGGAATTCCAGGATTTTGATCCAGTGATGATTAGAGAGCAAAACAAAAACACAAAAATACATTATATAAATGCAAGTCTAACATCCACTTCGCGTCTCAAAGCTTTTTCTGCAGCCAATGAAGCACTTTTGAAGTCAATATGTGCACAGCAAGATTCCACAACAGCAATGTGATTATGCCCAGATAAGCTGTTTATGATGTTGAATGAGCAATAAATATTTGGCTAGGACACCAGGTGAATAATGGCCCCTATAGTTCTTCAAAACTAATGCCATGGGATCTTTTATATTGACTTGAGCAGACAGATGTGGTCTTGATTGAATGTCCCACCCAAATATGGCACCTTTGAAAGTGTAGCTGACGCTCTCCCAGTCCTGGAATGTCAGCCTTGATTGGCATGCTAAAGGCCTGCAGCAGAACTTAAATCCAGAGCTTGTGACTCAGTAGCGAATGTTATAACTGACACATAGCTGATCTTGAAGATGTTCATTCAGAACTGAGACATAAAGCACAGCAAATCAGGTCTTCCCCACTTGACGAGGTTTAGGGAACAAAAATAAAGACTCACAGTCGTGTAGCAGCACATTTTTAGAAATGTATTGAAAAAGTATACTGAGTTTAAATCATTTCAGAAGGTAATGTACTTTTACTGAACCCCTCAAGTTTCTCTACCCAGCTTCAAGATTCATCTCTTCAACAATACCTGGGTCATCCTTCTTAACACTACTGCACAAGTGACCAATTTGCTTTATCTGTGCTCGAAGGATTCCTAATCCACCTTTCACCTGTTGAGACCTTAAAATAATTTTTGGAATCTATCTTGGGTACTTCAACCAAGTTTAAACCCCTACCCACCTCTTCCATTGCTGAGTTGAAGCTCGATCTTACTAACACTTCCTAATTGGGAAATTGTCCCAATCCAGGTAAATGATTTGGGGTTGTGCTGGTTTCCAGAGTTGCTGAAGGCAGCAAGAAGCCAACTTAAGTCTAAGAGGAGAAAATCACAGGCAAAAACATGCAACTAATAGGGCTGCCAACCCAACTATGGTGAGCTGTGTCAGCTGTGGCGCAGTTAATGCACTCGCATCTTGGAATCACAAGGTCTGACTTCACGTATTATTCCCCAAGACTCAAGGTCAAAAGTTAAGATTGACACTCGAGTGCAATACCGATAGAGCGCTGCATTGTTGTAAGTGCTGTCTTTCGGTTGAGATCTTTAACCACTTGCTTGTCCAACTGTCAGATCTCATGGTACTATCTCAAAGGACAGCAGAGGCATTATCTCAGGTGCCTAGGCCAATATTCATCCTTTAACACAGACACTGATGTTTGTAGGAACTTGCTGCGCAATATTTGTCTGCCATGCTGTTTCCTACATCACAACAGTGACTACACTTCAAATGTAGGTCATTTGCTAGCAAATACTTTGAGAAGAAGCCTATGGCTTGTGAAATCTATATAACAGCGAGTATTTCTTTTACAGCCAAAAGACAGTACCATTTGAAAAACCCATACGATCAAACTTCCAGTAACACATCCAACACAATGACAACGACCTTCTTAACTGGGCCATAAATGCTGGCTATTTCCATTGGTGAAAGAGTCAATAATCAGAGAACACAGATTTGAGATAATGATCTATTGCATTGGGGGGGTAAGTTAGGAGAATACTTTAACAGTGAAAAGTGATGGTCTGGAATCCATTGTTAAGAGGGCTGGTGAAAGTAGATTCCAGAATGAAAAAAAACAGGCAGGCATTTAAATAGTGGCCTTCACAACCAGAAGCCTTACCCAGATTCAACTGTATTGTTTATCAAAATATTGCAATATGGAAATATGCATTGCGAACCTTTTGTATTGTCAGAATACCTGGTTCTAAATAAGAAATCCAGTTGTGTTACTGTATGAAAAACATCCACATGTTAATATATCAAGGTGAAATCCAATGGAATGTTTAACTATTTTCAGCAAACCAGTGTCACAGTTAAATGAGCATGGACAAAGTACAAACTACAAACTTAATCACCTACATCCCCAAGATAAAAACCTTTCGCATTTCAACTTAAAAACGATACACAGTGGGATGTCATTCTTTATCATTTAACTCAGTCACGCTGAACATACCTCTTCTTGAACACATGTAGGAGCACTTTGTCCCAAAGGACTCTTTGGGAGGAGGAGGGTTAGTTTGTGATGGGGAGCTGTAATAAGGTGGCGAGGAAGAAGAGGGGTGACTGTTTGGATGAGATGATGGCACTCGAGAACCAGGATGTCGGGTGTACTCCTCATGTGGATCATGTCTACCAAAACAAAGCATTTTATTTTTACTCAATCATCTGTTTTCAATAGTGTTTAAAGGTTTGTAACAGGTTTGATATTGACAAGTGGATTCAACTTACTGATCTTTTGGAGTTTAACTGTCAAAGAGTGCAGTTTAGCGCAATGTTACTGGATTAATGCGTACACTATTGCGAAGCACCAGAATTCCACTTTAAAATGTGTATCAAGTTGCTACTTTATCATTGGTTTTTGGAAATCCCTTTCAATAAATAACTTTGTTTCTTTTTTAATCCAAGCTTTCAATTCTACCTAAAAAAAAACAGAATCAGTCCTACTTTAACATTCCATAAAAAAAAGGCAGCTGGGATGCACCAATCCTTTCTCCATTTGCATCCCAAAACCAGTCCAGCTCGTCCCTGCCTCCCTAACCTGTTCTTCCTCCCACCTATCCCCTCCTCCCACCTCAAGCCGCACCTCCATCTCCTACCGACCAACCTCATCCCGCCCCCTTGACCTGTCCGTCCTCCCTGGACTGACCTATCCCCTTCCTAACTCCCTACCTACACTCACCTTTCCTGGCCCCATCCCCGCCTCTTCAACCTGTTTGTTTCTTCTCCACCTATCCTCTCCTCTATCCCTCTTCTATCCGCCTCCCACTCTCTCCCTATTTATTTCAAAACCCCCTTCCCCTCCCCCTTTTCTGATGAAGGGTCTAGGCCCGAAACGTCAGCCTCTCTGCTCCTATGATGCTGCTTGGCCTGCTGTGTTCATCCAGCCCTGCACCTTGTTGTC